CCCATATTAAGGATTATAGTATTTTTTTGGGTTCTATATTGAATTGGGGTCCCCTTATTTCGGGAAACTACCACCTAACAGCATTATGCGGGGTGTGATGGCCGGGCTCTCGAAACCGGATCACCTCTCGCGACCTCAAGGATGTATGGTCAGGTTCTGTTTAGACACTTCTTTATTGGGGGGTTCTGTTTAGACACTTCTTTATTGGGGGGGGGTCCTCGTTAAAAGAATATAACTTTAAACTGCTCAAGGCAAATTCTCCGGCCCTTTTGCAGGGACATTCCTAAAAGTAAGGTTCTGCCTTTCATGATCTTTAGGCAGCGGGCTGCAGTGTTTTGCGGGAAAGCATGAGAAAAGCACGACCAGCGTGAACAAAAGGTGTAGGTGCCAGCAGATACGTGTAGTGCTGGCACAGCACCGGCTTTGCGGGTTAGGGTTCCGGGTCGGAGCATTCCATTTCTGGGGGCCGTCGGATCTTTGACGCGGCCCGAAACTCCATGCTTCGCCTTGAAAGTGGATGCCCTGTAAGTGGGGCCAGCTAGAACCAACCGTAGTATCCGTAGCGCTTGACACCAAAAGCCTGAACACATGGCAGCCAGACCCTAACTTCGTAATTAAGGGCCCTTCTTTGAAAAAAGCTGTTTGCCAGCTGTAGACCCAGCGAATTCAAGAAGGCTTGCGTGAGAGTGGGCCCAAGAAAGACAAGCTCTTTAGTCCAAATCAGAGACCTCAGCCTTACCGACGTGATCAAAATCATAAGGGACGGTATATAACAACACTCTGGCATGTGCTATAACTGTGAACAGTGATTATCACCTGATTCTGACTGCCAAATCACGCTGGCAGCAACTTGCGTCCAACTTCCTTTTCATAACATACGCTGACAGCTGAATGCGATATGAGCAATGACACTGACGGTCCTACAAAAATCATACAACGTCTGTAGTGAGAATAAAATGTCCAAAAGTTCTGAAAGACTTCTCTAAACCTTCAAACCACAACACCACATGAGCTACTGCAATACAATTTTTGTACCCAAAGTGCATAGAATCGAAATGGGGAGCACTTTCGGGTGAATGTTCGACATGTGCCCCGTAACTAGAAGAATTGATATAGTGCACATGTTCAATCTTCTAGTGCATGGCCTGTAGAGAGGAATCATCGTCCTCCTGCTGGAGCAGGCATCTTTCGAGGCTTTCATAAGAATTCATTGTGCATGATCTGTCGTCATGTGCGGTAGCCCTGGATACTGTGGGGTTTCTTGAGGTTGGTCAGTCGTTCTCGTAGCAAGGCCATGAAAAACGAATCTCTTCATAAGGGTTTAAAGGTTTAGGGGTTGAGGGGTTCAGCTACATGGTGAAACGGAATCCTACTCCATATTGGGGCTGCCACCTTGCCTACTGAAGATACTGGGTGTGCTCTACCGAATTGCCCGAGTAAGCTTTTGCAGCTACGGCCATGTGGCATGGTGAAATATGTACTATGCCAGATGCAGTCGACGTAGTTCCTGACCCCTTTGGAAAAATCATGAAACTTTTGGCAAGGATACTGCTACGGGCTATGCCGTCACTTCTGACCAACACTCGAAGCCTATCTCAAAGGTGTGGGTTCTGAATTGCCGGAAAATGTGTGGTCCAGC